ATGCAGAATCTGGGTGAAAATTGCTCTGTCCTGGTTTGCAAGTGCAGCAGCTCTGAAGTTCCCTGCTCAATAGAATCAGGAAACAGCACGAGGTGCTGGGCATGAGCCCTCCTGGCTGGGCTGTGCTGGGCAGTTCTGGGTGAAGCTGCAGGTGACACAGCATCACACCCTGTGCTGCCAGTGGGCCTGTCTCTAGAAACTCCTGAACCTCAAGTTCCCACCCTGATCCCTCTCCAAACCCAGCTCAGGGAGCAGATGGCACTGGCTTAGTCTCCAGCTCACATTCTTTTCTTTCTTTTTCTCATCGATGGTGAACTTTGTAAGGCACTGAAGTCTTTAACCATTAGCAGGCAATAAAAAGGGGCAGCAGAGTTGAGTAACACCCACTAATCCCCTTCAGGATGAGCTGGAGAGAAGAGCCCGCTGCAAAGCTCTGGAGCTTATTCTGGGATGAATGCTTTGGAGGCTGTGAGAATTGCTTGGTGTTGGTATTTCATGAATAAATAACCCCCAGCAGTATTTGTCAGTGAATCTGCTTCATTAATGAGACCTGGAACAAAGGGAGGGAGTGCAACAAAGTGGTTTGGAGGGAATCCAGGCGAGTGCAGGTGATATGGGAGGTGGAATGGGGCTGTGTGAGGATGGGTGCCATGGTCTGCACCATGGGAGCAGAGTCAGGAGGGGAGCCCTGCTGTGCTGCACCATGCTGGACATTTATGCCACGAGATGTTGATAAAAAATTGGGTTTTACTGATGCTGGGTGTGTATTCAGTTGGTCCTGGCAGGGAGGGGAGTGTGTTTAATTTATAACTGTATCATTTGGGTATCTGCAGGTGTATTTGGGAGAGCTGGAGAGTTAAAGAAGTGTGTGTATGTGTGTGTGTGGGTGTGTGTTCGTAGATGTTCATGGGCTTGTGGAGAGGATTTGGCACCAGACATTAGGTCACTCTCTCCAAAATGGCTTCGGGTCACTGATGGATTTCCCCATCCTCCCAGTGCCCCAGGTGCTGAGCCCTGCCTGCTCCCTGGGGCTTTGGCACCTGGGTCCAGCAGGGCCACCAGCAGCTTCCCTGGCTCTTTGATGCACTCAGGACACGGAGCCTGTCCTTCTCCATCCCATTCTGTCAGAACAGATCCAGGGCTTACTCACTGAAATCCAGCAGGAGGAGATGGAGAACAAGAGCTGTTCTTTTGCAGGCAGCTTGTTACTGCAGGGCAAGTGATTCATCCATCAGGGCTGGTCTGATGTGGCACCCGGGCAGCGGTGGGGCTGGCTGTCCCCAGGGGCTCACTGCAGTGGTGGCCAGATGCTGCCATCGCTCCCCAAGTGTCCCCTCCCTTGTGGGCGCTGCTTTCTCTCCAGGGCTGGCTCTGGAATGTGAGAGCAGGAGCCCCATACGCTGGGCAGGGAAGGACAGGCAGGGGTCCCTGGCAGAGCTGTGTGGGTGGGTGGAAAGTGATCTGCTCCAACGTGTCACTGCAGAGGGCAGGCAATTAATGACTGCTCTTCACTCCCAAAACTGACAGGAGCTGCTGAGGCTGGCAGTGCCAGGGGCACCTGCCTGCACTGAGCCAGGCTCCTGCAGCCCCTCCAGAGGCAGATCAAAGTGAAGTTTGCTCCCAGCTTGCTCTGAGCATCACATCAGGCTCTCATGAGCTGCCATCCCTGTCAGGGCTGTGTGTTGAAGTGAAGCTCCTCTAATGGAACGATGGCCACGCAGAACTGATCGTGCAGAGCGTCTGCCCTCACCCTGCTCCTCTCACAGGTGACACCTGAACACTTCCCAGCGAGGTTAATATTTTAATGTGCTTAATGGCTCATTCCAGCTCGCCAGCCCTTCCTGGGCTTTGGCAGGGGTCATCCATTATGCCAAGCTTTGGAGCACGAGTTTCCCATTCCCATCCTCAGCCCTCCCAAGGGCAGGAGGTGCTTTGTGCTTCCAAGTTTTAATTAAAGCATGACAAGCTGCCCTTGCCACCCCAGCTTGGTGCCATGTGGGATGAGTCAATGTCTCTTGACAGAATTCTGTCTCTCTGGAGCAATCCTGTGCAAGGGCCCAGCCCCAGAATCTTCTTTCCACCACCCAGAGCAGCTGTAGCTCCTCACCTTCTCCTTCCAGGCATGTGGGTTGTTTGGTGGCTCAGTGGAAAGCCAGGAGGAAGGATGGGAGCATGGTTCTCCTTGCTGTCCACCCACAATGAGAAACCCCCTGGGAGGACCAGATGGGGCTGAGCTTTTTGGGGTGGGTGGCGGAGGAGCTGTCACGGTTTGTTGGTTTGGGCTTTTTAAAAATAATCCTCCCTACATTAATAAACAGTAGGTTTAGTTAGTAAATAATATCCCCTTCCTCCCCCCCATCTCTCCAGCAGAAATATGTGCCGTGATCTAATATATCCTGCCTTTCTCATTCCCTCATTTCAGAGGAGCTGCAGATCCTGGAGGGAACAGAGTGCTAATAGAAAACGGCCTCTAAAGATATTTGAAACATGACCAAGAAAGGACAGAGGGAGATTCTTCTCCAAATATGCTGGAAAATCTAGGAGGTGGGCCAAGAAAGGGAGAATATCAGGAGCTTGATTGCTACAAGTGAAAAGTTAATTGGGAAGCATTAATTGGGGTGAGAGCTGGCAGCACAGACATGAATTTGCTATGTGGGACACCACAGTGAACACAGAGCTGCCCCAGTGCTGAGATAACTCATCCACCCCAGCCCATGGGGATGTGCCAATTTAATATTTCTCACTGCTTTTAGTGGTGTTTTTCTTATTGACAGTCCCAACTTTTGGAGTCCTGGAATTGCCTTGAAATCCCGAATCTAAAAAAATATCACTATGTCAATTCTGCATAGGGCTTTATTTGGGTTTGGTCTCTGAGGAGTTTCTAGCCCTTGAGTTTGCAGGGAAAAGCTTGATTATACCCTAAAGCAAATTTAGGGGAGGAAAATATAACAAAAAAAAAACCCCAAAAAACAACCTACCCAAAACAGCGCAGCAATTGATTTATTTTTAAAATCTCATCATTTTGGTGCCAGTTGCATTATATTCTTTTTTAATGCCTGACTCATGATTTCTTGAGCTCTCAGTGTTGGCAGGGCTGTGTGCGTGAGTGTGGCAGCGTGTGAGCTCAGGGGCCCTCTGCTGATAGAGAATGCAGGGCTGCTTCCAGGCAGCACCACCCTGGCCCTCCAGGGCTGATGAATATTCCTCTACTGCTGTTTCATTGACAAGCAGATTGTTTTCACATTAAACCCCCCAAAAAAGAGACAGCAGAGCAGGGCATTGGGTCGTTGTGCTGATGGCCAAGCAGGAGAGAGGCTCAAGGAGAATAAACCATGCTGTGACTCCCAGCACTGCTTCAGGGGTGTTGAGGTCGGAGGGATCAGGGTTAATTTGCAGCCTCCTGTGGGTAAAGATCTAATAAACAGCCTGTGGAGGTCAAGTCTGTCACTATCAGTGACTTGTTCTGTGACCTTCCTCTCTCTCTGATCACTTTGTCTCTCTCCTGTCAGGTGATGGGTTCTGTTGCCCAGGATGCATTATGGGTATTGGTTAACATATAAACTGTGCTTTGAAGATGAAAAATATCTTGGAGATGCTTAAAGCTCTTGACAAGCATGTGTGTTCCTTTTGCAGGAATCCAGCAGAAGGCAGAGTGTCTGAATGCTTTGTCACAGGCAAAATCTGCTGCATGTGCAGCTCTGAGAGGCAGGGCTGGGAGCTTCCCAAGGCTTCACATGGCCTTGGAATTATTCCTGGGTGCTCCTGCTTCTTGCTTGAGGGGTTTCACAGCACAGCAGTGCCTGGGGTTTTGCCCATTGTGGGCTGGAGCAGAGCAGCAGAGCTGTGCCTGCACCCATCCCTGCATTATCTATTCCACATCCACATTCCAGCAAGCACAAAGGCACGTTCCATGTGTCTTTCCAGATTTGGCAGTGTCCCTGAGGTGGATGTGGGTGATGGTGATGGACAGGGTGTGGATGCTCAGGGAGGTTTGGCCCAGCAACATTCAGGAAGAGTTTTATGGCTCTGGATTTGCTGTTGTCCAGCATAGGGTTGGATTCACACCCAGCTCCAGTCTACTAATAAAGCATCTCCTAGTTGCTAGTTTGCATAAAACTGGTGGATAGTATCGTTGAAACCCCATGTCTGGTTGATTCTGTGAAGGCTGCCAGAGTTATGCAGCAAATTTATTGTAGAGCATAATCACAAACCCCTCATTTCCTTGGGATGTCTCCTTTGCCTCAGTATCTCTAATCAGGGATTTTGCCAGAGCAGCTCTCTATGCATTGCCCTGCCCGTGCCCGTGCCCTGCCAGCTCCCTGCCAGCCCTAACGGTGCCTTTTCTCTCCAAGGGAAGAAGCGATGCTGTCCACCTACTTCGAAACCATCAATGACTTGCTCTCCTCCTTCGGGCCCGTCCGCGACTGCTCCCGCAACAACGGCGGCTGCACCCGCAACTTCAAGTGCGTGTCGGACCGCAAGGTGGACTCCACGGGCTGTGTGGTACGTGCTGGGGCCGTGGCGGAGGTGCTGGGGCTGTGGGGTAGGTGCTAGGGGTGTGGGGTGAGTACTGAGGCTATAGGGTTGTTGTTGGGGCTCTAGTGTAAGTACTGGAGCTTTGAGGTACATACTGGGGCTGTGGGGTTCATACTGGGGCTGTGGGGTAGGTTCTGGGGCTGTGGGATAGGTGCTGGGGCAGTGGGGTTCATACTGGGGCTCTGGGGTTCATACTGGGGCTGTGGGGTGAGTGCTGCAGCTGTGGGGTGAGTGCTGGGGCTGTGGGGTGAGTACTGCAGCTGTGGGGTGAGTGTTGGGGCTCT